TATGGCGTAAAACTTCACATATTAGCAAATAATAATCTTAAAACTCAAATTTTTTATTGTTTCTAAAACTAAATGCAATTCCTTAAACTTGGCATCACTTCCATTTGAGCACTTACGGACAAAATTTTCCAGTTCTGGAAGGGATTATTATTCCACTTTTTTTTACTTATTCTGGAATTCTTCCACAACATAATGCATATTAGTGAAAAGTTTGGTTCTGTGGTACCTTATAGCATAAGAAATTTGTTCGATGTAAACTTACTCATGATTTAACCAAAATTAGTGCCTATTTCGCTCCATAACTTTGACTAAGTGGGTAGTTTTCCAAACTAAAGCCTTTCTAATTATCAAATCCACTTAGTTGATCCAAGTAACCTGTCCAAATATATGCTAAACTACCAAGTTTAATTTCTTCATGAAAGTTGCATGCAGGACTTGCCATTATGCATTTCCTTTTTGATTAAAATATGTAATCTTTTACTTTAACCTGTAGGTTTACTTGGTGGCTGACCGAGCGGCTTACGGATGTTCCAGTTTTCTTGGTAAGGGTAGTAGGCAATGCCTTTCAAAACCCTATTAATTACGTGCCGATGCGCCATATGCATCTGTACACACACGCTTAAACATTGTCACCTTTCACATAGTATTCACAAACTGCGAGTAGCATTGTTTTCTAAACAAAGCTTGTCCGGAATTTGTGCGGTGTAAGTTAGAGTTAATACTTTCGAGGGACAACAGGGGCACATAATTATCCAAGCTTTTTTTGAGGAGCCGTAGGGACGTCGTCTCCAAGACTGATTGCTGGAGGTTATTCCATTGTGCTCTAGCCCGTTGCATGAAAAATGCAGAGCGGAGATCAAGTTTAGGCATTTTCGTTCGTAGCTTCATTGTGCCCACGGAGACGAGGCGAGAGGTGCCACTAGAACACGTCCTCAAAGCACAATCCTTGCTCAGGACCGTGTATTATCTTGTAAATTAAGATGCAATCACCTCTTTGCTGCCTGTAATACAGAGTAAATAAATTCCGGTCGTTCTAAATAAGAGTAGTTTTTTTGTAGACCTTGATTGGCCTTTTCGCACGACTCTGCACCTTCTCGAGACACATTTTGTCTTTTTGTGAGTAATGGCTGCCACGCTTGTATGTCATATTCTAGGTGAGGTCGAACGAAGGTG